GCTGTCAATCTTGATTACCCATCTTTCTCCCGTGGATCTGAACTGCATGTCTTTGGGTTGGCAGCACAGCTCCTTACCATTAGGCCACCAGAGATCCCAGAGGAGAAGAGGATAGATAAACAAATAAATAAGGATAATGATGGATATAACTAGCTGCCTGAAAGATCTGTTCTGCACAGAGACTGAAAATGTATGGAGAAAGGACACATCTCTGATGTACTCCTGTCTTGATTTTGAATCTTGCAGTGTTTCCTTGCTGTGTTCATATGACAGCTTCTTGGTCTAAGGATAGGTTTTCACATGAGTTCAATCAAGTGTTCTGGGAATCTCACTCTCAATGTTAGCCAAAATTTGTTGTGATCCACATAGTCAGATCAGAACTATATGAGGAACAGATGAATCAGGAGGCTGGACTCTATGAAGAATGTGGCATCAGGATTGGAGGAAGACTCATCAACAACCAACAGCATGCAGATGACCCAACCTTGCTAACTGAAATGGAGAAGAAATTGAAGTGTTTACTGCAGAAGGTCAAGGATTCCATCCAGACACCAAGAAAACAAAGATTCTCACCACTGGGCCAATTGGCAGTATCATGAGAGGTGAAAAAAAATTGAGGTTCTTAAAAATTTTGTCTTGCTCGGGTCCACAATCACAATTCTTGGTACCAGCAATCAGGAAATCAAAAGGTGAGTTGGTTTGGGAAAGTCAGCTGTCAGAGACTTCTCCAGAGTGCTGAAGAGCAACAATGTCAATCTAAAGACTAAGGTGAGTTTGATCCAAACCATGGTCTTCTCAGTTACTTGCCATGAATCTGAAATCTGGACAATGATTAAGGGTGACAAGAGAGGAATTAATGCTCTGAGTTGTGGTGCTGGAGAAGAGTATTGAAAATACCAAGGCTTTCAAGAAAACAAACAGGTCTGTCCTAGAGAGGGTGAAACCAAGTTGCTCCTTGGAGACAAAGATTCTAAAACTCCATTTCATATATTTTGGGCATATTGTCAGGATGGATTGACACAGTGACTGTTGCAATGAGGGCAGGTGTGTTGGAGCCAGTTAGACTGGCTCAAGACAGGGCAGGGTTCAGAGCCACTGTTAACAGTGTGTCGCTATGGGTTGTAGTTAACTTGATGACACAAAACAACAACAATGGATAACCACTGGGTACATCCCATTGGCCATGATATATTATACTTTTAATGCTCTCATAGAACTAATTTGTGGACATATTACTTAGTTGGTTGTTTTTTTTTTTAATCTTCTCTAAAATTCCATCCTTACTTTTTTTTGGTATTGCTATTGTGTGAATCTAATAAAATATATCTTTTTCTCTTCTCCCTTTTTTTTTAATCTCTGCAATTTGGCCAAATTTGGCTCATGTATTTTAAAGACCAATCTTTGCCCTTTACTTTAAAAAAAAATATATATTATTTTATTAGTTTTTCTGAGTTACTTCTGATTCACAGTGACCCTATGTACGACAGAATGAAACACTGTACTATTCTGCAGTATCTTCATATTAATTTAGCCCTTGACTTTTTAAGACAATTGACGTTTCTTCAAATATAGCCTATCAATTGTATGTCTTATTATTTTAATGTCATCTCATTTCAACTTCTAACTAGAGCACTTGTCATAATATTCTTTAGAGAAATCACTTGGAAGGTAAAGAATTGGTCTAGAGTTCAATCTCTCTCACCTTTGGTTTTCAATAATTAATCCAGGGACAAATAAACAACTATGTGTGAAATCATTATGCTAGTAATGTATGTTACTAAAATTTTATGTCTTAAAAAATGTCTTAAAATTTTAAAGTCACATCTATAATGGGATACTTGGGAATAAAGGAAAATAGCTAAAAAATTAAAATTACTTTTCCTCAAGAAGTCAACACCAAGTAGATGCACTCTAAGTTAAAATTTCAAGCCTGAATTTTCTGAGGTATGGAAGAGACACTTATTTCTCCTTTTCACTTGATCTCTTAATAGTTAAGAAGAAACAAAACAATTCTAGTATCTTGGCAGTCTTCTTTCCTCCCTCCTGTTAAAATACATATTCCATCCTAAAAATCTGTATCAGAAGCCACAGATTTTAAAGACATTTAAAATTCATCCATATATCAAGGATAAGAAACACAACTAGAAAAGTATCTCAGAATGCCTATTCTGGGAAAAGAAAACTGACTAGAATTACCCATCGCTGTCATTTGTAGGAGGCATTGCAGAGGGGGTGGAATTTGCTCAACAAGGATCCATGCTGAAACAAAATGATCTCCCAGGCAAGATGGCTATCTTCACTAGCACACACACCTACATTAAAGATAGCTTATAATATTATGTCCTGTCGAGTCGGGGCCAGTTCCAGTGGGTTTTCAGAGACAGTGAATTGCTCAGAAGGAGATTCCCCATTCTTCTTTCATGGAGCAGTTGGTGGATCCGAACCACATGCCTTTGGGTTCACAGCACAACTCCTTACCACCAGGCCACCAGAGCTCCTCAAATTAATCATAATACGCTAAAACTTCTTTAAATGTCCACATTTTGCTGTGACTGAATATTTGGAAGAAAATACGCTTGCTTACTTGTGTTATAGACACCATAGAGAAATCGTCTCCTTTCCCTTATATTCTAAACTCTTCAACATTTCTTTCAACTTTATTATAATTTAGTACATGGAAGGGGTTTGGATTTTCCAAAGACCTACATGTTTATTAAGGAGCTGCACTAGTGCAGTGGTTAAAGCAGCATGGCTGCAGACTGAAAAGGTTGGAAGTTTGAGTTCACCAGCTGCTCTGAGGGAGACAGATGTGACAGTCTGGTTCTGTAAAGATTACACACTGGAAACCCCAGGGGAAGTTCTGCTCTGTTTGAAGGTGTTGTGATAAGATGACGTTGACTCAACGGCAATGTGTTATTTCTTTTTATTATTACTTACTGGCAGTTTCTTATTTTTCCTTCAGTAGATGACTCGCTCATATACAACATTTTCCTCATAGCATTTAAAATTATTAAATTATAGAAAATACGTAAAGATCCATTTTGATCTTGAATATAAGGCACAATAATATAAAATAAATGCTCTGTGAAGCACACCTTTAAAACTATATTTTCTACACTTATTAGGATTGACTTAGTGACTGGGGTAATTGAGGTGGGTGTGTCAGAGACAGTGCGATTGGCACAGGACAGAGCAGGATTTAGGGATGTTGTACATAGTTGTGCATTGAGTTGCAAGCAACTCGATGGTACATAACAACAACAACAACATTAGGAAATATAAATACAAGAGTTTGGTGGTTTCTAAAAAAAAAAAAAAATAAAAAGGGAAGATTCAACACAGGAATACCATGATTGAGCAATTCCCCTCCTAGGTAGGTATATACTATAAGGAATTGGAAATAGGGACTTAAACATACTTTCATAAGACTGTTCATGGCAACATTATTCACAATAGCTAAAAGGCTAGAACAACCTAAGTGAGCAACACTTGAACAGACAAACAAAATGTGGTATAGACACGGAATGGATTCAGTCATTAAAAGAAATTAAGTTGTTACCCATGTTACAATACAGGTGAAACTAAAAACCTAATGCTGAGTGAAGCAAGTCAGACACCAAATAACAGACACAGTATAATTCTACTTATATTAAATACCTACAATAGGCAAATGTATAGAGATAAAAAAGTTCTTAGTTGTTACATTGGCAAAAGAGAGGGGAGAATGGGGAGTTATTGCTTAAGTAGTAAATATAAAGCTGGGGTGATGAAAAGCTTTTAGGAATAGATGGTACAGACCATTGCCCAACAGGAGAAATGATTACTGAATGGGACACTTAAAAGGGTTAAAATGGAAAATATTTTGTTAAATGAACATTCTACAATTATATGTGAACATTTCATTTGAAATAATGTTTTTGCTTATAGAAAAAATATTTAAATTAAGAGAAATATTAATCAGGAATACTCAATTACTTTTGGTAACAGAAAATTAGGTCATTTAGGAAGAAAAAGGAACTCGACACTGGTCTCATTTTTCACCCACTGAGTCTGGGAGAGTGGTCTTCTTCCAGCACCACAGAGGTGCAGGGGGCAGACATAGTGTGCAAAAATGCAAAGGATGTCTCCCTCCCCTCAAATCCTTTATAACCTTCTATGGGAAGAAAAACCCTATCTCTAAAGGAACAAATAACCAGACAAAACCATTCTTGTCTTAAAACGGTCCATTTCTGGCCGCCATCAGTCTTCCAGGCTGTTCCTTCTTATATCCCCACCTCAGTGTTTACTGCCCTCACATATGGGTATCCTCTAGCTTATCATGACGTTCTCAGGAAATGCCTCATTCATCAAACTCTTCATGTTTCTGCACACATTATTACCTCTTTCAGGAATTCATTTCACTTCTTTATTTTTCATGGACCTACCTGTGATCCTAATTTTGCTTTCTAATTTTATATTTCTAGTGTCTGTATTAACAGATCATATGGGAGATTGTTTCTTGTGTACAGCAAGCAGTCTGCATTGATTATTAAAGGTTGACGGTTCATACCTATCCAACAGAAGTGGAGTAGACCTGATGATCTGTTTTGGTAAAGAGTGCAGTCAAGGAAATTTTACGGAACAGTCCGACTCTGTGCCACGTGAGATAATCATGAATCAAAATGTTAGAGGTAAATGGAATGTTAAAACAATAATAGTGCAAGCTACTTTCTTCTATTTGTTGGATTTAATTGCACCCAGATTAACAGTGATAAGATCACCCTTTAGGAAATCTCATATTGTTGTTTCAGCTGGAGGCTGAAAGTAGTGGATCATTTATAATCCTACAATCAAGCCTAGATGTTAATTTTACCTTCCAGGAAACAGACGACATATATTGCCATTCTCATGTAAGAATACAACTTAGTACATGAATTTTGGCACAAAAGAAGTTCAAGGATAATTATAGTTAAATATTTTGTATATTTAAAGATTTCTAAGTTGGAGAAATCAAACCTTACCTCTTGAAATGATTCACCAGGACTCCAACAAGTTCTCCAATCCGACTCTCATGGGTTGGCTGTTTGCTGAAGAGGCAGACGATGAGGTCTTTGTTGTCTTTTGTATGGAACACTACAAGTTGGTCTTTTCCATTGGAGACACTCAGGCCAGTCAACTGCAAAGGGACAAATCATGGGAAGCTGTTAAAACAGTTCTTTAGAAAGGGAATCTAAAATAAACTCTGTAATACGTGTTCTTAATAATTCTGGTAACTTCTATCCCTATCAAGCATCATGGGAAAGAGGAGGATAGGATCTAAAAATGGGTTCATGGGATTCAGGAATTTCAAGAAACTGTATAGGCTTTATGTGTGGCAGGGCATTTTTCTAGGAAGAGGGGCCATAGTTTACATTAAGTTTTTAAAAAGTCTATAAACTCTAAAAAGAATACTTAGGTAGTAGAATGTTTTTACTTTCTAAGTCTATGCTTAAGAGCCATACTAAAGTATCTCATTTGTGCCAAAGAGCAGTAGTGTCTTGCATTTGTAACAGAGACAAGAAGTCTGATGAGGTTGGGACATTTTGTCACATGCTATGACATGTATTTCTTGTCACACACAGCATTTCATGGAATTTTGTTGAAACAAGATCAAAACTAGAGTTTTTAAGTTGAGTAACTGTATCTTTTCTAGTTTATTTTTTTATAGCACTCAACATCACATCAAAATATCAGTCAAAATTAAAGCACCCTCAGAGATAAGATTTTTTAATTTTGTTGACTGTTAAAGCTCCAGAGTGTGGAAAATAGTAGATACTTACTAGACACTTGCTGAATAAGTTCTATTTATTTTTACAGTGTGTATTTCTCATTGTTTTAATTGTCTCTATTACTATATTCGCTTGTTATGCATCAGAGAGTTGGACAATGACTAGGGAGGACAGAAGGAGAGTGGATGCTTTTGAGCTGTGGTGCTGGAGAAGAGTACTGAATGTACCATGGACTGCCAGGAAAACAAACAGATTCACCTTGGAGAGGATTAAACCAAGCTACTCCTTGGAGGCAAGGATTCTGGGGCTTCATCTGACATACTTTGGACATGTTGCCAGGAGGGACGGGTCCTTGGAGAGGGACAATCATGCTTGGGAGGGTGGAGGGATGGCGCAGGAGGGGAAGACCCTCTATGAGATGGATTGATTCGGTGACTGGGGTAATCGGGATGGGTGTGTCAGAGGCAGTGCGGTTGGCGCAGGATAGAGCAGGGTTTAGGGCTGTTGTGCATAGGGTCGCTATGAGTCGCAAATGACTCGACGGCACATAACAACAACAACAACAACAACAACAATTACTATATTCACTCACTCATTACCACTGAGTTGGAACACACTCATAGCTGATTCTCCAATGGGTTTTTAGAGGCTATTAAATTACATGCAAGGAGAGTACCCATTTTTCTCCTTTAGAGCATCTGGTGGATTTGAACTGTCTGACTTTGGATTGGCAGCACAACTCTATATCTACTAGGCCACCAGAGCTCAGAGTGCAGAAATTATCAAACAGTATTATCAATATCACATGCAAGCAAAATATTGCTGGAGATCATCCAAAAATGGCAAGAACAGTACATTTGCAGAGAACTGCCAGAGGTTTAAGCTGGGTTTAGAAGAGACTATGGCACCAGAGATATCACTGCTGACATCTGAAGACGGATCTTTGTTGAAAGCAGAAAATGCTAGAAGAATGTCTATTTGTGTTTTACTGACCATGCAAAGGCATTTGACTATGTAGACCATAAAAAACTCTAGCTAACATTGCATGGTTTAAAATCAAGAAAGGTGTGCATCCTTCCTCCATACTTATTCATTCTGTATGTGGAACAAATTATTCAGCAAGCTGGACTTTGTGAAAAGAATGTGGCATCAGGATCAGAGAAAAACTCATCAACAATTTGATTTATGCAGATGATGCAACTTTGCTTGCTGAAAGTGAGGGAGACTTGAAATGCTGCAGAAGATCAAGAACTACAACTTTTAATATTAATTACATCTTAACATCAAGAAGACAAAAATCCTCACCCCGGGGCTGATAGGCAACATCATGATCGATGGGGAGGGGGGGGATTGTGTACCAATGAAGGAGTTTTTCTTTTGCTTTTCAAGGAGAAAAGTGCAGCAAGAATGAATAGAATTCCAAAATCTCCACAGATGTTCATTAAAATAAAATAAATAAATAAATTTTAAAAAAAGATTGAAATTGTCAATAATTTCATCTTACTTGGATCCACAAGTAATACCAAGAGGTAGCACCAGTCAGAACATGAGGAGAAATCTTGCACTGGGAAAGTCTGCTATCAGTGACTTCTCCAAAGTACTGAAGGACAATGATGTTTGTTTAAAGACTAAGGTGTGCCTAATTCAAGTCATGGTTGCTTCAATCACTTGCTATGCTTCCGAGAATTGGACCATGAATAAGTATGACAGAAGAAGAACGGATGCCTTTAAGCTTGCTGTTAGAGAAAATGACTCAATGCCCCATGGAATGTCAAAAGAACAAACAGATATGTTTCGTGAAAAGTGCAGCCAGAGTGCTCCTTCGAGGCAAAGATGGCAAAGTTTTGTTTTACATATTTTGGGCATGTTGCTAGGAGGGGCTATTCCTTGGAAAGAGATATCATGCTTGGAAAGGTGGAGGGTCAGCAAAATAGAAGAAGACCCTCAATGAGATGAATTGTTACAGCGACCACAGCAATGGGCTCTAGTATGTCAGAGAAGATGAGGATGGCACAGGATGACAGAGTTCAGATCTGTTGTTTATTGGGTTGGTATAGGTTGTACTTGACAGCACCCCAAAACAACAATACTTTCCAGTATTCCTGTGCTTTTAAGGTTCATTCATTAAAAATATTTTGAATATTTACTCTGGTCCAGATGTTGTTTTACAAAAATTGGAGACATAATTGAATACAACAGACAAAATCTACCCTCAGGAATCTTGTGCTTCAAGTAAAAAAGCATATTAATGGGAAAGAAAATAAAACAAAAGACAGAAAAAGATAACAAAACCCAAACCTCAGGATTCTTTACGAACCTGGATATAAAAATGCTCAAGGGAAAAAAAAATAGTAAATATAATATAAGATATACATAAATAATATATATAAAACAGTAATAAACATTAACCAAGTAAATTTTAAGGATTACAGGCTGGTTCAATATTCAGATATCAACCAATGTAATCCATGATAGTGGTGGAATAAAAAAGAAAAGGAAAATTTCTTATGGTCTTAATCAATTGATGCAGGAAAAGTATTTGACAAAATTCAACATTAGTTCAAGATACAAATCTCTCAGTAGATTAGAATGAGAAGAAAAATGTAATCTGATCAATGACGTCTACAAACTCCATAGCTAACATCACACTTCCCTGATGGTCAAAGACTGAAGATTAGAAATAAGGCAGGGATGTCCTCGTCACTGCTGCTATGCAACTTGTCACAGGAAGCCTTTGCCAGTGCCATAGGGCAGGTTAAAGATAGAAAAGGTTTCACATTGAAAAGGAAGAAACAAAATTCTGTCTGTTTTCAGATCACACAAGTGTCTGCAGAGAAAAACCCAAAGGAATCTACAAAACAGCTCCAGGAATTTAAAAAATCAGTTTAGTAGTAAGGTCACAGAATACAAGGCCAACATATATACAAATTAATCACATTTCTGTGTTCTAGCAGTGAACAACTGGCAACAGAAATTTGAAAATAAATTAATGAAAAAGAACCCCCAAATTACTTAGCTATATATATAACAAAACAAGTGCAGGCTCCACATGTCAAAAATGACAAAATGTTGATGAAAGAAATAAAAGAAGATCTAATTAAATTGAGAAGAATATTATGTTTATGGTTGAAAAACTCAGTATTGTTGAGATGTCAGTTAATTTGCAGAATTATTATAATGCCAATCAAAATTCAATCAAATATTTTTTATACATACGGACAAGGCAAAAGATCTAGAATTAGCCAAAATACCTTGGAAAAGAATAAAGTTGGAAGAATCATACTATCTGATTTAACACTTACGATAAAGCCAAAATAATCAAGACAATGTTATGATGGCAAAGGGATAAAGTGTGGGTCAATGGACTAGAGCAGAGATTTAGAAATAAACTTATACAATTACTTTTTGAGAAAGGTATAAAGGCAAATCACAGAGAAAAGGTAATAACTTTAACAAGGGTAATCATTGCCACTTGGGAATGAAACAAAGTTCAACCTAAATTCTACACTTTCTAAAAGAAGAATTAAAAACGGATCCAAATAGCAAATGCAAAACTGTAGAAAAAATCATGTGACTTTGTTGTTGTTATGTGCTGGCAAGTGGACTATGACTCATAGCGACCCTATCTATGTACAATCGCTCAGAAGCCTTCCCTGTCCTGAGCTAGTCTTACTCACTTCAATACTTCTACCCTCCACTGCTCTAGTGATCGTATCAATCCATCTCATCTGGTGTCTTCTTCTCCTGTGCTGTCCCTCCACCCTTCTGAGCATGACATCCTTCTCCAAAGATCAGTCCCTCCTGGCTACATGCCAAAAATATGTGAGATGGAGCTTCAAAATCTTAGCCTTCAAGGATAAACTTGCTTTCACTCTTTCTAAGACAGACCTACTTGTTTTCTTGGCAGTCCATGATGTATGTTCAGGACTCTTCTCCAGCACCACAACTCAAAGGCATCAATTCTTCTTCTACTGTCCTTAGTCATTATCCAGCTCTCTGATGCATACATAGCAAGTAATTGCGAAGACCATAGACTGGAGGAGGCACACCTTAGTCCCTAGACTGACATCACTGTTTTTCAGTACTCTGGAGAGGTCCCTGACAGCAGATATACCTAAATGCAATTCGCCTTTGGTTTTCTGACTGCTGGTGCCAAAAGTGTTAGGTATAGACTTCTTAAAACAACACCAAAACCACATTCCACAAAAGAAAGAAAAAAAGATAAGCCAAATTCATTAAATTTAGACTTAGTCCATAGGGAGTTGTGCTGCCAACTGAAAGGCTGCCCTCCGAATCTACTAGTTGCTGTGTGTGGAGAAAGATGGACAATCTCCTCCTGTGAAATTTAGAGCCTCATAAAATCCACTAGAGGGGCTACTATGCGTAAGTTCAACTTAATAGCAATGAA